CAACAAAACATTAGTTCCCTTAACGTCTTTCTCATCCAATCAGCGTGAACGAAGCGGTGTCCACACCGTGTGCATCATGACTCACAATGAGGTGCCAAAATCACTCGAGGGGGAGGAAGCCCCACACAAACACAGGAAGTGCTGCATTTCACACACAGGGACAGAGAGTCTGAGGTCTGAGCTCTGCTCCACTGATTTAGGGATGAGATTAACCTGGCTGAGAGTTACTTTATTGTTGCCCGTGACAGCGCAGCCTCAAAACCCGCTGTGAAAAGTCCTGTTATTTTGGTGCATTATGAGACCGAGGAAGTAATAAAACAGCACAGAATGTGCAACCAATTGAGGATCTGTCAAATTAAGAGTGGAAAGTGAAAGTAGCCTGGGTCTTGTTTTATTGATGTTTCATGTAGATCTGTCGAACACAATTAGCCTTTCCGATTTTTCTCGTCCCCTTGAAAAACCGTGGCTGATTTCGCGCCAGGAAGACGTTACACGGCTTCTGTAAGCTTATGTATTTCTTCGCTTGAGTATCTGTCATTACCATAACATGGTTAACTCAGCATGTTAGAATAATGTCATTGACCTGAGTGCTTCTGACCGAGGAAGGTTATCAGCGGGGAAGAATTCAGAGCAGACGACAGAGACCACACACACCGATACTGAGCACGGATGTTATTCGCAATCTCATTCCAATATCTCCATTGATTTGGCCAAATTAGCAGAGTGGAAAATTATAAAAACAAGGCAATATGCCAATGTTGTTCTTTGTTAGATTTTTTGACACATTTTTTCTTCATATTATTGCGAAGGTCTCATTAATTGCCTTTTATTTATCTTGTCTGTGGTAATCTCTCTCTCTCTATCTCTTTATATATACACATTATATACACACAACAATATACACACGAGTAGTTGAAAAGTAACATGGACATGAACTTTTGTGTTCTGACATCAAGAATTTAGGGTAAAATGTAGGCTATATGTGCGATAAGACAATCCAGACAGCAACATAGTGTCGGCCCAGATCCGGCCCACATCTGGTACGTGTTGAATCCACATGTCCATAACTAACTTTAACTGGAAAATAACTTTATTCTAGAGCTGCCATAAAGCCAAAACAATCTCTACTTTAATTTCCTATTATCACTGTAAAGCCGTCTTGGAACAATCTACATTGTTAAAAGCGCTATATAAATGAAGACGACTTGACTTGACGTGTACCAGATGTGGCCCGGATCTGGGCCGACTCTATGTTGCTGTGCGGGAAATTATTTATAAATCATATTCCATGCAGTCTCCCAATTAATATGAGCTCATAAAACTGTTTAATTAAAACAATTTTGGGTTTACACTTGCATGATGTCAACTAACCCTAAACCAGATCCAACATAAAACACGCAGTATTCCCAAACAGCACCACACTCTTTTCACCTCATTTCCTCAATAATGTCCTCCTGTGAGCTAGAGAACTGATTGAGTCAGAATTCCAGAGTATCTGTTACAAACGGCAAATGAACTTGCATTTCTAATATTTCATCACTGGTTTATATCACCTCCCTCATTCATTTCATCACTGGAATCTGTCTCACGGCATTTCCAGGGAGAGATAAATCCTTTTAAGGGCGCTTAGAAGACACTCTGGCGCCACCCAGTGAAGACCTTGAAGAAATGATCAGAATTAATAAGCCATCCAATAGCTAGAACTGAACAAGCAAAAACATCCGTAACGCAACGTCACACACTATACATTTTTAATTTATTTTGTTTGTTGTGTTTGTTTTTCATCCACTAAATATGAATGCCATTTTTATCATGCAATATAGGCTACACTTACATGCTAATTTATTAGGTAGGCCTTCACTTTGCCAGTATCGGGTTGGACCACTTTTGCATTCAGAATTGCCTTAATTCTTTGTGGCACAGATTCAACAAGATACTGGAAACATTCCTCAGAGATTTTGGCTCATATTGTCATGAAAGCGTCACACAGTTGCTGCAGATTCATCGACTGCACATCTATAATTTGAATCTCCCGTTCCTTCACATCTCAGAGCTGCTCTACTGGATTGAGATCTGGTGAATGTGGAGGCCATTTGAGTTTAGTGACTCACTGTCATGTTCAAGAAACCAGTTTGACATGATTTGAGCTTTGTGACATAGTGTGTTTATCCTGCTGGAAGTAACTGTCAGATGATGGGAACACTCATGAAGAGATGGAGATGGTCAGCAACAATACTCAGGTCGGCTGCTCATTTAAACAATGATCAATTGGTACTAACTGGCCCAAAGTGTCCCGAGAAAATATCCTCCACACCATTACACCAGCAGCCTGAACGACTGATACAAGGCAGGACAGATCCATGCTTTCATGTTGTTTACGCCGAATTCTGACCCGACCATCTGAATGTCCCAGCAGAAATCAAGACTCATCAGTTTCCTGTTCTCAGCTGACAGGAGTGACACTGTGTCTTCTGCTGCTGTTGCTCTTCTGCTTCAAATATGGACGTGTTGTTCGTTCAGAGATGCTCTTCGGAAGACCTCGGTTGTAGCAAGTGCTTATTTGAGTTACTGTTGCCTTTCTCTGGCATCATCAAGGCATTTTCACCCACAGAACTGCCGCTCACTGGATATTTTCTCTTTTTCTGCCCATTCTCTGTAAACCCTAGAGATGGTTGTGTGTGAAAATCCCAGTAGATCAGCAGTTTCTGAAATACTCAGACCAGCCGCCCACCAACAACCATGCCACGCTCAGTCACTTAAATCACCTTTCTTCCCCATTCTGATGCGCAGCTTGAACTTCAGCAGATCATCTTGACCATGGCAGTGTCTGAAATCGCATACTCTCATGATGAGTAGGTACTTATTTTGAATAAGTAATTAATTCACGACCACTAAAAAAGTATGTTCTATAGTAGGCTATGAATGTGTGTATTATGAATGGAATCTGTACACACTACATTCGCCATGTTGTCATTATCATGTGAACTACCAGTGTCAGTTATGTCACTTCACTGTCATTCATATCCTGTGGCCTCTTGGGATATTAATGTATCTATCATATGCGCACTTCAGAATCTCACTGGATGAAGTAGGTCGTCTGGGTACTTTTTGCCAACTCTTTTATGAGCACTGTGAATTCAGACATACTTCTTTTGTCACATACTGTTTTTCTCATAGTAGAATATAGGGAAGTATGCGATTTCAGGCCTATATGCACTGAGTTGCTGCCATGTGATTGGATGCTTAGACATGGTATGGAATTAGTATGTAAAAAAAAAAAACTATAGAGGTCAATGGGGTCTGGTTACCGACACTCTTCAAAATATCTTATTTTGTGTTTAGCAGAAGAAAGAAATTCATTAGGTTTGGAACAACTTGAGGGTGAGTAAATGATGTCAGAATTTAATTTTTTGGATGAAGTATCCCTTTAATGACCAGTTGAACAGGTGTACCTAATAAAGTGGACGGTGAGTGTATAACCAGACATTTAACTTGATCAACACTAGATGGTGCTGGGATGTTGAAAATAACTGTTTTCAGTCTTTCAGTGCAGAAGTCAGTCAGTAAAAGTTTGTTCTTGATATAAATGTTGCCATCATGTGAAGTTTAGGTAGTTCATTTGGGTTGAAAGTGAAATAAAAAACTGGAGTTGGAGCTAAACTGTGCAGGACAGTGGCCCTCGAGTTTGGACATCCCTGGTCAGATTTTACAAGCTTACACTTGTGAAAAAGAAGTGTACTTAGTTGTATTGAATATGCATTTAAGCCTATTCAAGTCTTAAAGTATAAAACATTTTTAAAGCCTCTATTCCAAGATCATATAATATTAATAAAATAAAGGCCACTTAAGAGTACTTAAAGAGTGTAGCCTAGACGTTCACAATATTTTTATTAACACACTTCAGTACATTTTTAAACAGTACATTATGTAATAATGTCAAATGAAATGCTTCAAGTATATTGTAAACTATTTAATAATCAGCTTTGCCTTTACTCTTATGATGTCTTGCCTTTTATATAGTAGTGTGATATTTTATATTACACTTAAAGTCAATATATTTTAAATGTAGGCTACTAAATTGCAAAATCATCATCATAAATGTGTAATGACAAAGTATATTTTAGTTTACAATGAATGCTAGTCAGTACATAGATAAATACATATCCAGGTACACTTAGTGGGGAAATCCCAACTAATTATTTTTCATATGAATTTAAACTATAATACATTTCATTCAATAACAAGCAGCTCAATGTTCAAAAAAATATTATATTCAGTTTGCACATTCTGTTGAAATATATTATTTGCGTAATAAGTTAAAAGTATGCTAAAGTGTACTTCTTTTTCCAAAGTGGCCAGCTAATATTCAGAGCTAAAACACAGCTACATTTTTCCAGCAGATTATAATGTAAATAAATTATGTAAAGAATACCCAAGTTAAAATTTAATATGATTAGCTAAAAGTTTTAATAATGGAGCAGGTCTTTTGCCCGTTGTTTTGGTCTATGAACTAGAACCTCACACATGAACTAGTGCAACACACTTGAAGGGGGAATTGAAATGTTAGGCTATTTAAACGCACAATACGACATTTAAAGAGCATCAAAGATATCGTGCTAATTCGGGGTTATGCCTGAAATATTTACGTCTATGTCATTTTTATTTTTTAATGTCCTGTCCAAGTAGCCCAATAGGGTGGAGCAAAAAATGGAAGGCATGGGGGAAAACACGCAGGCTGTGTTTCAAAATGTAGTGAGCCGCCTAACTTAGGCAACATTTTATAGCATAGTGGTCGTGCTCAGAATACGCTCGGCTTTAACCTTTTTTTTTACAGTCTATGGCTTTAACTAAACGACTGCTGTCTAGAATTTCGATCCGAAAGCGCTAAGAATGCTGTCTAGATAGGCGACTCGCGACGTTTTGTAACACCACCTCGTTCTAATGAATCCCTATTGGTCAGACCAAAGCTCCTGCTGCCACAATACTGCACACACGTGACCCAGCTTTTCTGTACACACACACACACACACACACACACAGTAAAACACAGCACAGCAGGCACTTAAAAGCCAACGCCATGGCGTTTTGACCACCAATTTCACCCCACATCCAAACAATCACCATGAACCCTCTCCGTTGACAAACACGCATTATCCCACGCGTAATGGCGAGCGCGCTGCAGATGAAGCCCTCCAGTTTGGAGCACACACGGAAGCGCGCGATAGATCCACGACGGAGACAAGCTGCACTCTCATTCCTCAGCAACATCTCTCTGGACGGACGACCGGTGCAGGATGACGGGGAGAGTCAGACCGAGGACGAGGACAGCTCGAGGACTAGACAGAGCCTGGTTTCTGCAGTGGGCCAGCAGGCATTGGCCGAGGCAGCGAACCAGGCTCTCAGCAGTGCCCGAGCTGCTGGTTTCATGGCTGGGATCCCGGCCTCTGGTGCTCCTCCTCCTCCTCCTCCTCCAGCGTGCGGTGCGGGTGCGGATGGGGATGTGTGCGGTGCTCAGGTGCTCCAGGCCGTGTTCAGCTCCCCTTTCTCAGCTGTCCCACCGGCTACGAGAGGGAGACTCCAGACGTACACTCAGGGAATCCTGCCCGTGTCCTACTCCAGGCAGTCCAGCCAGAACTACGGCTGTCTAGATGGAGGGCAGATTGCCAACTCTGCCCTGGAGCTGCAGAGATCCAGGTAAACTTATGGATTGAGATGCGGGACACGTCATTAATTACAGCAGAATTAACATGCAAGTTGTTCATTTTCAGTACTTGCATATATACCAACTAATCTAATCCATTTTACTGAGCTCACTTGTAGAATGCATTGATATTGTTGTGCATAAATATTCTGTTATGAAACCAAGTGGCATTTGTGCTGACGTCACTTTTTAGTAAGTTTTACAGATACTTTGTTTTAACCAATTGATGTCCTCAAGTTCAAACAGGTGTAGATCCTCACATAAATAAAGTATGAACACGTTCCACGAACCTCTGACTACCACAAAATGAGTATACTGTTTAAAAAAAATTGTGGGGGCATTTTGCATTTTGCTTGTGTGAAAAACAAGAGAGTACCATTCTTTCTTTAAAACAAATGTAATTCAGTTTCATATTTAAAGGTATAGTTCCCTCATGTCGTTCCAAACCTGTAAGACTTTCGTTCATCTTCGGAAAACAAATGAAAAACATTTTGATGAAATCTGAGAGCTTTCTGTCCCTCCGGTGAGGCGCTTCAAAAAGGTGACTATGGCTCTTCAAAAAGTTCATAAAGAGATTGTGAAACTAATCCATATAAGTTGAGTGGTTTAATCCAAATTTTCTGTAGAAACTTGATTGCTTTATATGATGATGATGAACAGATTGAATTTAAACTTTTATTCACATGTGTGCGGAGTGCGGACATTCATCAACTCGCACATCAGTTGTGGTAAACAGAAGCTCAATCATGTTCACTTGACGTGCGACAACCAATGAGGTTCATTCTCGTGTTGCGCAGATTGTTTAGCTTCATCAAGAACCAATGAGATTCATTCTCATGTTACGCTGCACGTTTGTGCTTCTGCAAGAACCAATGAGATCCATTCTCGTGTTACGCAGCACGTTTGAGCTTCAGCAAGAACCAATGAGGTTAATTCTCATGTCACGCAGCACGTTTGAGCTTCTGCAAGAACCAATGAGATTCACTCTCGTTACACGCAGCACGTTTGAGCTTCAGCAAGAACCAATGAGGTTCATTCTCGTGTTACGCAGCACGTTTGAGCTTCTGCAAGAACCAATGAGATTCACTCTCGTTACACGCAGCACGTTTGAGCTTCAGCAAGAACCAATGAGGTTCATTCTCGTGTTACGCAGCACGTTTGAGCTTCAGCAAGAACCAATGAGGTTCATTCTCGTGTTAAGCTGCACGTTTGAGCTTCTGCAAGAACCAATGAGATTCATTCTCATGTTACGCAGCACGTTTGAGCTTCTAAAAGAACCAATGAGGTTCATTCTCGTGTTACGCAGCACGTTTGAGCTTCAGCAAGAACCAATGAGGTTCATTCTCGTGTTACGCAGCACGTTTGAGCTTCAGCAGGAACCAATGAGGTTCATTCTCGTGTTACGCAGCACGTTTGAGCTTCTACAAGAACCAATGAGGTTCATTCTCATGTTACGCAGCACGTTTTGAGCTTCTACAAGAACCAATGAGGTTCATTCTCATGTTACGCAGCACGTTTTGAGCTTCTACAAGAACCAATGAGGTTCATTCTTGTGTCACGCAGCACGTTTGAGCTTCTGCAAGAACCAATGAGGTTCATTCTCATGTTACGCAGCACGTTTGAGCTTCAGCAAGAACCAATGAGGTTCATTCTTGTGTCACGCAGCACGATTGAGCTTCAGCAAGAACCAATGAGGTTCATTCTCGTGTTACGCAGCACGTTTGAGCTTCAGCAGGAACCAATGAGGTTCATTCTCGTGTTACGCAGCACGTTTGAGCTTCTACAAGAACCAATGAGGTTCATTCTCATGTTACGCAGCACGTTTTGAGCTTCTACAAGAACCAATGAGGTTCATTCTCATGTTACGCAGCACGTTTTGAGCTTCTACAAGAACCAATGAGGTTCATTCTTGTGTCACGCAGCACGTTTGAGCTTCTGCAAGAACCAATGAGGTTCATTCTCATGTTACGCAGCACGTTTGAGCTTCAGCAAGAACCAATGAGGTTCATTCTTGTGTCACGCAGCACGTTTGAGCTTCTGCAAGAACCAATGAGGTTCATTCTCGTGTTACGCAGCACGATTGAGCTTCAGCAAGAACCAATGAGATTCATTCTCATGTTACGCAGCACGTTTGAGCTTCTACAAGAACCAATGAGGTTCATTCTCGTGTTACGCAGCACGTTTGAGCTTCTGCAAGAACCAATGAGGTTCATTCTCATGTTACGCAGCACGTTTTGAGCTTCTACAAGAACCAATGAGGTTCATTCTCATGTTACGCAGCACGTTTGAGCTTCTACAAGAACCAATGAGGTTCATTCTTGTGTCACGCAGCACGTTTGAGCTTCTGCAAGAACCAATGAGGTTCATTCTCATGTTACGCAGCACGTTTGAGCTTCTACAAGAACCAATGAGGTTCATTCTTGTGTCACGCAGCACGTTTGAGCTTCTGCAAGAACCAATGAGGTTCATTCTCGTGTTACGCAGCACGATTGAGCTTCAGCAAGAACCAATGAGATTCATTCTCGTGTTACGCAGCACGTTTGAGCTTCTACAAGAACCAATGAGGTTCATTCTTGTGTCACGCAGCACGTTTGAGCTTCTGCAAGAACCAATGAGGTTCATTCTTGTGTCACGCAGCACGTTTGAGCTTCTGCAAGAACCAATGAGGTTCATTCTCGTGTTACGCAGCACGTTTGAGCTTCAACAAATTAAATCTGTTCATTATATAAAGTAATCATGTCTCTTCAGAAAATTTGGACTAAACCACTCAATTCATATGGATTCGTTTTACGATCTCTTTATGAACTTTTTGGAGCATCAAAGTGGTAGTTGCTTAGCAGTCAATGGAGGGATGGAAAGCTCTCAGAAGAGCTTCATTTGTGTTAGGAAGATGAATGATAGTCTTACAGGTTTGTAACGACACGAGAGTGAGCAATTAATGACATTTAATGACATGAATTTTTGGGTGAACTATCCCTTTAATATATTGAATATGATCGTGTTCATGGATTTGTAAGTGTGGCATAAGTGTCTAAATAGTTTTTGGTGAAAAACGCAATTCTATAATAATAATAATAATAATATTAAATGGTGATAGACCTGCAAAGTTCTAACATTTGCACTTGCATTGCAACATGATACTGTAATGTAAAAAAACCACACAAAAAACAATTACGGTCTATAGTTTTCAAACTTTATAAATCCAGACAATAGATTACATCAAATGTACACCTGTGCAGTTGGTCCCAGTTTATATCAGGTCTCTTTAACTACTATGTACTTATGTAAAAAATAATAATTGTTTGATACAATGTACTGATTGTGTTGTATTGCAGAAGTGTCACAGTGGGATACAGGTATATTCTTAGAGGAATACACATTATAAAAGCTGTGAAGTGAGGGATTACCTAGACTTTATTCAAATAGGAGATTAGTTGCTATTGAACTAATGGCCCCATTAGACACATTAAACACACTCCCTGAAAAAAATCAATAAACTCCATTCAGACTTTACTACAGTACATCCTTCATTAATATCCTAAGTGACCTTCATTCTTAGAGCTGAAATGACACCATTTGCATGGGTGAATTTTTCACTTCAGCTCTTTCGCAGTGGGACCAAAACATTTAAACAATATATCTTTCAATACAGATTAAATAACTTTTAGTTAATCAGCTGTGGTTACATTTATTTCTAATGGCCCTCTAAAAGCAGTAGTAGCAGTAATAATCCTCATATTCTGATTCTGAACTATTGAGATGTGAAGATCCCTAATGCTTCTCTTCGAAATGTCCCCGTTGAAGAAAAAACACACTGCAGCCAGTATCTTTAAAGTCCCGGGATCATATATTTAGCATGATCATAGTGACAAGTGTGTCTAATCGCAGATGAGCAGGTGGTGACACCGAAGTGTCTGCACGGCACACTACTTTCAGTTCCAACCAGCAAAACCACAACATTTCAATCTCAGCCGAACAGCCACGACGGCGCTACTGTCTTTAGCTCTAACTGTTGCTTCAGAGGCATGCAAAGCACAGCCAAATCGACACTCATTAACGTTCGCGTTACAGGATCGCTTACTTTCTCTTTCTAGCATGCATCACACACACACATCTTCTGCACCTGCTTTGTGTGCTTTAATCTGAACATATCAACATGCTGTAAGCGGAGACTCTAGAGGCCATGCTTGCAAGTTGGGCGTCCTTTGTTCAGTTGTTTTGTTATTGAGCCAGAGAGACAGCAGGGAAGGTTCGTTGTTTGTATAGGAAAGTGAACATACGACATATTACAAAAATTTGATCCAATGCACAACTATTTTTCAGGATAGCAACTGTTTTAGAGCTTCACTGTGGCACTGGACTGACCCGAGACCTAATTCTTGCTTCATTTAATGATTATGTGTGTCCTGTTGGTTTAGTTGTGCAAGGTGGGTCAAAATGCACTTCATGACCTAACATCTACATGAACTGGTTTTACTCCAAACTAATTTAATATGTCTGAATAATTCTGTCTAGGGTTCATCAGTAAAATGTTTAAAGGTCAGATCAGATAGAAAAACCTCTCAAAGGTACACTTATGAAAGTTTTGGCACTCTAGCAGGTAATAAACAAAACTGCCACGTGTCTAATAGAAAAACACTGTAGCCGGAGCTACTTCTCTCTGTTTATATAGTGCGAATATGAACACTTATTATAGGCGTCCCGTAGTTATTCAGGATAAGACAAAAACACAGTTTGAAAGATTGATTCATGTACTAGCTCATTATATACATTTTGGGTTACACTTTATTTTAAGGTGTCAGTATTACAGTGTAATTATACATTTAAGTACATTTGTTTAGGGTTAGTTGCATGTAATTATGCATTATTTATAGTTATTACGATAGTAAATACATGTAACGTGTAACAAAATACTGTTAAATAAAGTGTTACCAACGTTTTTACACAATTTTTACATAGTGTATCTTTAAAGGTATGGGTCACCCAAAAATTA